CAGTTATTTAGACCAACACATTTAACACTTGAAATATGTTTATTTGCCACTTTGTCACACATAACATACACATATCACTGATAACCGATAACACTGAAATTTAACTGTATGTAGAGCAACTGTAGTGAATTGTAGTGAATGTGACCGAATAGATGAAAATAAAACTAACAAAATAAACAATCACACAGGTACAGCGCTATCTCAATTTGTTATGTCAGTGCTTATATGCCTCACAAATGACAACTAAAGGTTTGTGCACTTTGCACACAAGCCTGACACTGAACACCAGATCCTGCTCCTCTTCCTCTTCTATTGACCCTCCTGCCTGATGTATACCTGTGGCCGGGTGGTGACTGTGTTTCGTTTTTATCCCACATCTTCCCATTGCCTCTGTAACATGGTTTTGAAGGTGAGGTGTGCCCTCGAAACCTCTTCATATGTGGCATGACAAGCTCTTTGACCAGCTCCTTGATGAATAGCCATCATGCATTGGTCACACCACCCATGTAATCAGGGTGTTGTGCAGTGAAGGTGTAGGCCAGGGGTGGAAAACATCTGTCCTGGAGAGCCACAGCCAGCAGAGTTTTGCTCCAGCCTTGATAAAAACTCACCTGCCTTTAGCTGTCTAGTAACCCTTAGACCTTGATTAGCATGTTCCTGTGTTTTTGATTAAGGGTTAAACTATTTCCTTTATAAACAAACACAGTTTTTGTATTTCTACATCAGTTTTACACACATGGGTCTAAAATGACCCGTATTCATTTCCCATGTTCATTTCCAATCATGCCTGAGTGATTCTTTGCTGAATCTTTGAAAGAAATGCATTTTATCATTTATTATACCAGGTATTCATTCAAATATCTTTTGGATTTCCATAAATCATTCTGTTTATTTGTCCTTTCTTTACTTTATAAAACAAAACACAGTTTTTGTATTTCAACATCAATTTTACACATGAGTCAAAAATGACCCATATAGAAACCTATAAATTAAAGAAAGGAAAAACTGTGTTTGTTTATAAAAGGAAGGAAAAATAAACAGAATGATTTGTGGAAGTCAAAAACAACATATAATGGAACACATAAACACATATCTGGAATAATAAATGATAGAAAAACATTTCTTTCAGAGATTCAGCAAAGGAACAATCATCCATAACTGAACATAGGAACTGAATACGGGTCATTTTAGACCCATGTTGTGCATTAAAGGGGTAGTGATACAAAAACGATTTTTATTCAAAAAGTAATACAAAATAAAAATAAGGATTTGTGATGATCAAAAAACAAGTTAATTGAGGAATTCCTGGAATTCTGAATGATAAAATAAATTTCTTGCAAAGATATAGAAAAAGAAACTCAGTCGGGTCACTTTAGACCCATATTGTGCATCAAAGGGTTAAACACTATTTAATACGAATGATTAATATAAGAGGTAGACCGATTTGTGTGGGCCTACTCTTTCCTTTCATTTATATTTTATTAATTTTGGACTGTAATGTTTATGGAAGTTTATGGACTAAATATAGTATGTGACCCTGGACCACAAAACCAGTCTTAAAATGCACGGGTATATTTGTAGAAATAGTCAACAATAAATTATGGGTCAAAATAATCGATTTTTATTTTATGCCAAAAATCATTAGGATATTAAGTAAAGATCATGTTCTATGAAGATATTTTGTAAATTTCCTACCGTAAATATATCAAAACTTAATTTTTTATTAGTAATATGCATTGCTAAGACTTAATTTGGACAACTTGAAAGGCAATTTTCTCAATATTTTGATTTTTTTGCACTCTCAGATTCCAGATATTCAAATAGTTGTCTCTTGGCCACATATTGCATCCTATCCTAACAAACCATACATCAGTGGAAAGCGTATTTATTCAGCTTTCAGATGATGTATAATAAAAAAAAATGGACCCTTATGACTGGTTTTGTGGTCCAGGGTCACACTTTTTAATACAAATAATAAACGTTAAATTCACGTTATTAGGCCTAAATGCTATAAACAAGCAGGAACAAGTCAGTTTACATATGTAAACAACATGGTAACAAAAAGAAAAGCAAGTGTTAGTGAATTCAATACTGTTTTTGTTTTGAACTGTCAATCACTTCCGACAGCTGCATAGCAACAGTCGTCAAGATCATCTTACTCTGTTGTGTCCTGGCGCCGCGCGTCCACGCAGTCGCTGTTCATCTTCAAACGTTTAACGATCACTCTTTTTAAGATAATAAACTCGTCTCTGTTGTATCTGGAGACGTATAGCGCGTTATGACGGGCTCTCGGCAGAATGATCACCGCGCCAGCACGCCAGATGGGTGATTGTATTGTTGTTGTCGACTCGCTCGACCAGCCAATGAGAAGCTGCACGAGAGGAGAAAACACAACACATGTCGACGTCACAACCACTCTTTAACAGCTGTGCAGAAAAAAAAGACTTGGGTATAGTGTACTTTATAAATGCAGCGTCTGCAATATATCAATGAGCAAAGTGAAAACTAGCAAGATAATTCACATAATGGCTGTGTGCCAAAACCTCCGAGTAGTCTTTCTAGATAGTGTGTTCCAAACAAGCGAGTTCACACAGCGCTACACAACGCGCTCTACTCGAGGTGTGGACTCTGGAGGTTTTAAGACAGCCGTTGTAAGCAAGGTCAAGTACGTGCCCTGCTAATGCAGGATGAACATAATAACACATTTGAGAACTCTGAATGTCTATAAAATTAATTACGCCAGTGCACAAGTGAAATTCAAAGTGTTTCTTGCAATACAGCGTGTCTATTTATCTGTAAAAAATATTAAAGCTATGCATGGTGTTTCTTTGTCTGCTTATGAATGTTCAAACGGACAACAAGTGAAGACTGACCAAACACAACACTTAAAACCTAAATGTTTGAAAACAATAAAGTCGATGCTTACCAAATACGTGAAAATATCCTGTTATTGGAAGCTTGCAACGTTCAAGGTTCCGACGACAAAGCGATTACTCAAGCATCCAGACTCAGGCTACACCTCTAGCTCACTGTTGCCAACTCTCGCGAGACAAATAAGCAAACGCAGCTTCAAATACAAGCCCACTGTTTTTTGATAATTTATTAATATTGGCTATTCGAACCAAATCTACTCTTAGCATTAGTATAGGCCTTCTTGTTTTTTTTTGAACAGCCCGTTATAATTAATAAATTACAAAAACATTGTAAAAATAAAAAATTAGGCTACCTTATAAAGGAAAAAAGTCATCCCCCTCCTCTACGTCTACTACTATCATCGCTTGGATTACAGCGTCACGCGCCTTCTTTTTGAACATGATTTTTCTTCAATTCCTCATTGCGTGCGGAGGGGGCAGAATATTTGACAAATTAGGCTACAGCACTCATATTTTTTGCACTGATTGGCTATTAACTGTGTGCAGACAGAGTGTCAATCAATGCATTGGAGAATACAGTGAACATAAATGAAAAGAAACGAAGTTGCTTGTCAGGTTTTCCTAACAAGCAACCATATTTTTTAAAATAGGATTTTTTCACGCAACTTTACAAAAAAAGAAGCCCAAAGTCGCGTATAATACGCGGATTTGGCAACTCTGTTGCAACTACAGTACTTCTTCTTCTTTTTTCTTGGCTTTTGCAACTTGTAATTATTGCATATCGCCACCTACTGTACAGGAGTGTGTAAAGGGACTTGGCAGATACTTTACTTGGGGTATACTTAAATAAAAATTAAAAAAACACAAAGGGGTTTCCTGCCATTTCCCATTTCCTGTCATCTCTGCCTGTATTCATGGTATTTACTGCATCTAAACAAAACATGTTCTACGTCTTCCTTGGTTTGACATCTTGTACATAATCCATTACTCTTCCCTGTTGTCTGCAATGTATCATTCAATCCAGTATGACTTAATTTCAGCCTTGAGTATACTACTTCTTTTCGCCTGTTTGCAATATTTATCCTTCTTCCTCCTACTTTTGCCTGGTTTATATGATAATGTTTAACTACAAGTACTTCGAAGCCTTTGCCCTGGTCTATTGCGCTACAATATCGCCCTCTGCTGGATAGATGGCTTCTTACACATGAGAGCTTACTCGGTTACCCACTCAGGCCTTTATCGGTTATGTGCTAAACAACCATTTGACATGTTTTCATTTAAATAAATAAAATAAAATGTGGCTCTGGAAACACGTGCATATTCTGATGATGCCTTGCCTCTTTTCATTGTCATTTTAGAAATGTGACCCTGGACCACAAAAACTATTTTTTGAAATTGAGATTTATGCATCATCTGAAAGCTAAATAAATAAGCTTTCCATTGATGTATTGTTAGGATTTGACAATATTTGGCTGAGATACGAATATTTGAATATCTGGAATCAAAATATTGAGAAAATCGCCTTTAAAGTTCTTAGCAATGCATATTACTAATCAAACATTAGGTTTATATTTGCGGTAGGAAATTTACAAAATATCTTCATGGAACATGATCTTTACTTAATATCCTAATGATTTTTGGCATAAAAGAAAAATCGTTCATTTTGACCCATACAATGTATTGTTGGCTATTGCTACAAATATACCTGTGCTACTTATTACTGGTTTTGTGCTCCAGGGTCACAAATATAAAAAAATATATAAATGTGGTTTGGATTTACTGTGTCCATATTTATAATATTGAAACTAAAGTTTACTATTTTGACATAAAATATTTATATAAAACCACAGTTCATTCAAGTGTATTGTTGTATTGTTTTACATTTTATTTGTTCATATATACAATGTGTTCGTTCATTTTATAGTATCTTTAGGTCCTTTTCCCACACGTTGCTTCTTTTGCAGAGGGAGCTGATTCACATGTTCACTGTCCTGATGAAGGAACAGACATCATAATGTATTGCACAGGCAGGTTTAATAAGAGTTTCTTAGACAAGATCTAAAGACATATCACTTCATATCATTAAAGGGATAGTTCACCCAAAAATGAAAATTTGATGTTTACTTACATACATATAAGTAGATTCCTGCGGCCCATAGAAACAGTCACTAATGAGGCATCTACTTGTATAAATCTATGTCTACTATGCCAGAGCACGTACACGCGTCACGTGCCGGATGTTGTGAACGCGCTCAGACATTGCGGTGGATCAGAGGTAAAAAATGATATAAATACTTTTCAGTTTCTTGCACAGACTGATCATTTCGTGTCTTAAGACCTCAATGTATCGTCACGAGCCGCAGGGTTTAATTGGGTTTTGTCTGTGTATGCTTTTTTGACTCTCAAAGCCGTGGAGCCTATAGACTGCCATTATATGACTGACAGACTGCAACGGTTTGAGTTCAAAATCTTTGTTTGTATTCTGCTGAAGAAACAAAGTCACCTACATCTTGGATGCCCTGGGGGTAAGCAGATAAACATCAAAGTTTCATTTTTGGGTGAACTATCCCTTTAAAGGATTTTAAATAGAGATATTATTTTTTTTAATAAATCTGAAAAGTAGAAATGAGAGACAGAAGTGACCTACAGATGTTTCAGTGCATGGCCTCTTCATGGTGTGCTGGAAACTTGGGGAGGCTCTGGGGTCTTTTCTCACACACTTTTTGTGTGGAGGTGGCTGAACCACATCTGCATTTTCCTGCTGAAAGAACAGACATCATCATGTAATGAGAGACAAAATCTAAACATCACTTCTAATGGAAAATAATACAAAGGATTTGAAATAGAGAGGTTATTTATTTATTTATTTAACGTATCTGAAAAGTAAAAATGAAATATAGGTGGAACTTACCAAATCTCCAGTGCTCCATGGGCACGGCCTCTTCAGAGTGGATTTGGTTGCTCCCTGTAGAGACACAGAGAGTCCTGGTGATCTCTTGAGGGACATGGCAGGCATAGGTGCTTCCTTTGAGGATGCAGTGGTCACAGGTGCTCCCTCTTGGGACGAGGCAGGCACTGGTGCTTTCTCTGGGGACCTGGCAGGAACAAGTACGTCCTCAGCAGTTGCAGTGGACTGGTGCTTCCTCTTGGGACGAGGCAAGCACTGATGCTTTCGTTTGAGACGAGGTGGGCACAGGCCCTTTCTTTGGGGACAAGGAGAGCACAGGTACTTCCCCAGTGGATGAGGCAGGCACTGCTGCTCCTTTTGGAGTCTTAGCAGTCCTTGGTGGTGGTCCCTTTGGGGGGCCTTAGGGGCAAGGGTGTTAAGATGACATCCCTTTTTAGAAAAAGTCTCATATTTTCGGAGACTTTCATTTCCCCCCTAAATCGGTGTCTGGCAGGCACAGGTGCTCCATGTGGGGACCCATCTGCCATGAGTGCTTCCTCGAGGGATGAGGTGGAAACCGATTCTTCCTCTTGAAGCGAGGAGGCCACTGGTGTTTCTTTAGGCACTGGCGCTTCCACTTGGGCTGAGGCGGGCACTGGGGCTTCCTCTGGGAACCTGGTGGGAACAGTTGCTTCTCCAGGGGATGAGGCAGAGACTGGTGCTCCTTTTGGAGTCTTGACAGGCCTTGGTGGTGGTCCCTTTGGGGGCCTTAGTGGCAAGGGTGTCAAGATGGCATCCCTTGTTAGAGAAAGTCTCATGTTTTGGTGAATTTTCAGTTTTCCCTTCAGTTGCTGCCTGGCAGGCACAGGTGCTCCCTGCGGGGACCCATCTGCCACCAGTGCTTCCTCAGGGGACAAGATAGGCACTGGTGCTTCCTCTTGGCCCAAGATGGGCACTAGTGCTGCTTCAGGGAATGAGCCTGGCATAGGCACTTCCTCTTGGTCTTCCTCAGGGGACCTGGCAGGCACAAGTGCTCCCTGTTGGTACTGAGGAGTAACAGGTGCTCCTTGCGGGGCCTCCAATATTCCCCACCACTGGCCTGAAGTGAGGTCCCCACACTCTTTCTTCTTAGATGATGAGCACAAAAGATCTTCCACCTCCATTATTGCCCACCACTGCCCTGCGAGGAGGGCCGTGAAGAGCTCATCCTGCTCATCAGTGGAACTGTAGTGCAGGGCTTACATGCTCAGTATGGTGGATAAGTGTCTTTGGTGGTGGTAAGACACCAAATGACTCTGAAGGCTGTTTGTGTGCAACAATTAACTGTATGTGAAACACTGTGGAAGAAAGAGAAGAGCTGTGTAAGCCCAGAAGCTGGTTACTTTAGTGTTTTAAAATTCATATTATTCACATTATACAAAATTCATATTGTGGGCACTAGTGCCGCTTCAGGGAATGAGCCTGGCATAGGCACTTCCTCTTGGTCTTCCTCAGGGGACCTGGCAGGCACAAGTGCTCCCTGTTGGTACTGAGGAGTAACAGGTGCTCCTTGCGGGGCCTCCACTATTCCCCACCACTGGCCTGAAGTGAGGTCCCCACACTCTTTCTTCTTAGATGATGAGCACAAAAGATCTTCCACCTCCATTATTGCCCACCACTGCCCTGCGAGGAGGGCCGTGAAGAGCTCATCATGCTCATCAGTGGAACTGTAGTGCAGGGCTTACATGCTCAGTATGGTGGATAAGTGTCTTTGGTGGTGGTAAGACACCAAATGACTCTGAAGGCTGTTTGTGTGCAACAATTAACTGTATGTGAAACACTGTGGAAGAAAGAGAAGAGCTGTGTAAGCCCAGAAGCTGGTTGCTTTAGTGTTTTAAAATTCATATTATTCACATTATACAAAATTCATATTCCAACAACAACAACAACAAAAAGAAAACATAACACATCACAAGAATATGTAGATATCCTTTCAGAAATGAACGTGTTGTGACGATCACACATTCACAACCTTGACATTTTTAATTATTATTTTTTTAAGATTCTCTTATGCTTTTTTCATTGCTTGTGAATGAACATACAGTAAGGCTGATAATGACACACCATGAGTTGGTACACTACTTGTTCCTGTCTTTCTTTTTTGGGAAAAAAAGCTAAACATATCTACAAAAACCTATTAAACCTTGAAATCAAAACTGTACATTCAAATTTACATTACAAATGAATGAGGATTTGTATATAAAAAAATCAGTTTGCATGGTTATATCTATACAAATACAGATATCACCTTGATGATTGAAATTATGCTTTTCTCCCAATATCCATGACAATATATCAGTTATATTTTCTGTGTAAATTGTACATCTCAGCATGATCTTATGCATGATGATCAACATATTATTTAATGGCACAGCCAAGTCTAATATTCTCCCCAATACTGTTAAATAATAATAATATTAATAACAGCCCACAAGAGCTAGCGAAGAGAACTCATGTTTAAGCAAGTCTTTTCAAAACCTCTCTCTCGAGTGAGATACAGATGTATACAACGTGTGCGTTTGGATGTTTGGCATTTTCGTTAAGTGTAAGACTACGTTTGTGTACCGTGTATGTGGTGTGGTTATGGTTTGAACACACAGTCTCCTGTAGCAGGGTTTCATTTAGGCACTTTTGATATTCTGGATCCAGTGTCAGACTTCAGTATGCTGCTGCTGCTGATGTTGAGAGTCCAGTGGCGATATGACGAGCCTCTGAAACTGTGCTCCCTCCTCCTCTCCACCACTCTCGTAATCGCTCATCATCACTTCTGACTCCTCGTAGCAGGCGGACATGTCCGAGCAGGACGCCGTGGACGTGTAGAGCGACAGCGACATGTTATCAGCAGCAGGGGGATCGAAGTCACAGCCGTAGCCCAGCGGGAATCCTCCGCGCCGGTATCCTCCGGTGGAGGACGATGTGATGGTGCTGGTGGGGTTGGTCTGGGGTTCGGGGTCTGATGAGTAATGGTGGTGGGGGAGGAATTGGGTGAGGCTGTAGAGTTGGGGTAAGGGTGGGCGCTGGCGTACTCCGGACCCTCTGGGACTAGAGGGGGTACTGTTTAACGCTCGCGTGGCGGGCTGCAATGTGTCGTAGCGCTCTCCGTACACCGGCACGGGCGGAGGAGGGGGCAGGTCATCATGGGACGGAAAGTCGTCGGGTGGGGGAGGGAAGTCGTTTTCGATGTCGTATCCGCCCGGATAGTAGTCCGTGTCCAGCAGGGCGGGATCACTGTAAAGGGTGGGTGGGGCCTCCACTACCTCATAATGAGGAAACTCCTGGATTCCAGGAAGTTGAACGCTCGGCATCCAGTCAGATGTGTCCCAATGATAGCCTGTCGGACAAAAATAATAATAAATATCACCGTGTCACAGATACGAACAACAACAACAAAAAATATTATGATTAGATTAGGTTACACACTGAAAAAAAGGCTGGTGTCAATTCAACTTCAGAGAGGTCCATTTTGGTTTTGAAAATGGCATTCATAACCTATTTTACTTAATATTAACTCTTTCCCTGCCAGCGTTTTTGAAAAAAGTTGCCAGCCACCGCCAGCATTTTTAATGATTTTGACTAAAATTTCATGGCCCCTAGAATATTTTGTTGTATGAATATCTGAACATGCAATATATCAAAATAAAAACAGACCCTCTACTTTTAATACTTTTACTTTTAAACAACAAAATCTGTTTTATTCTAGCTTCAAACATTCTTCTTTATAAATATTTGAATGTAGTTTCATAAAAAAAGCAACATTTTGAGCAAAAAGCTGAGAAAATCGCATTTTTATCAAACATCTGGATCATATTCAGTACTCTTATCAAAGCAAAGATGCAGTAGATCGCTTCCATCAGCACTTCTAAAGCTTGCATAGTCCTTTACCACTTCCTGGATTGACATTTCACTCGATAACATTAGGCAGTTTTCATTTATATGCTGTTTATTGTTGATGATCGCATTATTTTTCATATGCTTACATATGAGATCACTCGTTTCTGCGTCTTCCTTATCTGTGTTTTTGATTAAGTGATTCTAAACTCATCCAGGAGGTGCATAATAGCACCCCCTAGTGTATAATAACAAGAACACGGAAACCCGGAAAATTCTGTGTTTGGCCGGGAAGCGTTGTCTCATGAATAACAGAAAATTCTGTGTTTGGCGGGGAAGCGTTGTCTAACGAATAACGGACAATTCCGTGTTTGGCGGGTATATGCTGTTTATTGTTGATGATCGCATTATTTTTCATATGCTTACATATGAGATCACTCGTTTCTGCGTCTTCCTTATCTGTGTTTTTGATTAAGTGATTCTAAACTCATCCAGGAGGTGCATAATAGCACCCCCTAGTGTATAATAACAAGAACACGGAAACCCGGAAAATTCTGTGTTTGGCCGGGAAGCGTTGTCTCATGAATAACAGAAAATTCTGTGTTTGGCCGGGAAGCGTTGTCTCATGAATAACAGAAAATTCTGTGTTTGGCAGGAAAGAGTTAAAGTAGTATAAAAAACAGAAGTTGAGCAGGAAATTCATAAAACGATGCTAGCCATCAATCCCTTCTTTTAACGCTTCTGCCATAACTTGTATTACACTAATGTTAAGTTACATCATCAGGACGTTTTTATGTACAATAATATGCACTTGTTTCTATATTAAACAGTAACAATTGCAATTTATTCTGTGAATAGAAGTTGAATTGACTTCAAACCACTCAGTTAATACCAGCCAAGTTATTTAAAACCAACAGCATGCAACGTCAGTATCACACCAGCACAATACAGATCATTCAGCACAGCACAAATATTACTGGAGTGCACACAAATATACACACCACACATGTACATTTAACTCTGAATATGTATATTGTTTGTGGATTTACAAAACAACCTTGACAACATGACAGTTAGTCAATGCTTTCAAAGATCCATTTGTCCACATTATATTATTAGCCAGAGTGTTTTCTGGTTATTATTATGGATTTTGAGGGAATTTTTGAGAGATGACATCAAGTTAGACTGGAAACACTCTCTCACACACACAAAAACTTTTTATGACACGAAGCTGTGACAAAAATTGCACAAGCCCCATTCATTTCTAAATAACAAAAGTAGTGAGTTGATTTGAAAAAGGAGAGTTAATTTGACACTATTTTTGTCACAGATTTTGTGGACATGCAGAGTTTTGTTATATTGAAGGGCGTAACCAAGCCAAAATAAAACAAAAAATCGAATCGAAAGGCTTCAGGCAAATTGTACAAAATAAAAATAAATCACCTCTTGGGTTCTTGTGTTCATGAGCCGAGAAAGACTCTTTAGATAAAAGGCAAACAGAATTGCAGAGAAAAGAGAGTTAGAGAAAATGTCTGATAAAAAGAGTGCAGGACAAGGTGGATACAAATGTGGGAACCATGAGGGTATGACACGATCTTCATGCCATTTGCTTGCACAGAAACATGGCGGGAAGGTGAAATCAGTCTTGGTAAGATTGCAATTTTCCACCTCAAATTAGCTGAACAATCATGTGCCACTGAAATCAAATGAGGCACCTGATTGGCTAATGAGGCATTTGATCGAATTTTTTAAGATGTGATTAGTCATTTTTAATTTCTTTGTCTCTGTAGATATAATTTAGGTGAAGAAAATGGCATTTTGGAGACCTAATAATCACCAAACGCTAACGACACAGATACCCAATAATCAGCATTGAAGCAGCAAAATACTACCTTCTTTCTCCACCGAGTCAACAACAGAGCTGACAAGGTGGATTACTGTCACTAGGGAGGCTTGTAAAAAGGGCAGATAAGAGAAATCTAACATTAATTTTTCAGAAGTAAACATTACAGGAAAGAAACACTGGAAGGCAAGATTGCAAGGGAGAGAGGAAACAGAGACAAAAGCGTTTCTCACGATGAGACATTGCATTCTGACATCTGACAAAACTGATGGATTTGAACTGATTGACTGGCACTGTCAGAACAACAGATACTAACTGGATTTATGGGATTTTGGCTTCTGCCAAGGGTGTGATCTAAGGGATGGGTTAATGGCAGAAGGATTCGGTTGTGTCGGTAAGGCACACGTCTGGGTTGAGCTCTGGTGAAGGACAGTGGGAGTGACGGCTGATGTTGTGCTCATGATTACACACATTAACAGAGTGATGAAAGGAAAGATCAGGAAAATTCTCAAAGATAAAAGAGAACAAAGACACTCTCTGGCCCCAAACCAAAACCAGCAGATGGAGAAAAATGAAAGAAGCAGGGTTCACTCTTTAGAGGAATATACGGGTACATGGCCATAAGAAAATATGAAAAATCCATTCAATATAATGCATTAGTGTTTATCAGAGATTCAGTGGGGGAGCTGTTAGGTCAAGGTCGTGGGTTGAAAAGGTCAAATGAGGGTCAAGAGTCAATGGTTAGATGACTGCAGTCCCCTTCACATGACTCATGTCAGGTCAAATGACATTTGAAAAATCATCTAGCAGGTTCAGACACGATTGTTCAGCGCTGCTAATGCATTCATTGATTGGAGAGCAGCGACAGAATTTGAGATGTAACTTCTCTTATGCCGAGTTCACACTGCACGATATTAGCCCGATTTTTCACTCGCCGACAAATGCTCGACATCGGAGTGACACGCGAGTGACAATCACGCAGTGTGAATTATCAAAGACGCGATCTGAGGGAATCGTCGCCGACGGCCGCAAAATATTTGGCATGCTAAATATCTGGAGCTTTTGGCGATTCACGATCACGCAGTGTGAAATGAGTTCTGACTGAAAACTACATCGGCGATGACCTACAGCCAATGAGAGACCAAGATACAGGGCTGAGGGAAGCTCGGGGAGGAGTTATAGACCAGAAAATCAGTATTTTAATAGATATATGAACAATTATATCATACAGAAACAAGCACAAACATTTGCTTGACCAGTCACAACATCAGCATAACAGTTACTGCAAAATTTTTTAACTCCAACTCTCTTTGCAGAACACCCAATCCCTGTTCCCTGCATCTCCCTCCTCCATAATCTGTTTTTCTTTTTCTCCTTGTAGCTGGAAATCAGCTCACAGACAAATAGCGGGCTATATATATTTTTTAATAATTACAGTCTCGCTGGAGAACTCCGGTCTGACGCACGCGGGTTCTCGCGTTATTTCTTTATCACTTCTCATGTGTTGCGGACCAGACAGAGCTGTCGGCGATTCTTCCTATTGCGAAGTCATGCAGTGTGAAGTCGCCGATCCATCGTGCAATATGAACACAGCAGCAACTGAATGCTACCCCAGATAGTCACGCAGTGTGAAAACAACGGCGATCCGACAAGTTTGAAAATCGTGCAGTGTGAACTCGGCATTCGTTTTCACACAAGTTTTTGTTTGAATTAAACTAATGCTGCTAAAATAAAAAATAAATAGGCAATGGATAAACTGGCTAGATAACCATTCTGCAGTGCTACTAACTAAAAATATAAATAGTTTTTTTTGTAATTAACTATATTTTATTTAAGTTAATTATTTTAGATTAAAAACCTACTGAAATAATAACTAAAACTGAAATTAAATAATGCCAAATAGGAATATGTAGATTAAATATGACAAAAGCATATACAATTACTAAAAGATAAACTTAACATTAAACGAAAATTAAAAACAAACCTAATTCAAAATATGAATAAATACTATAAATATAAATAATACTAAAATAAAACATCCTGGCATCCTGACCCATCCCTAGTTTCAATACATTTCTCAACACAACTATCATTTGTTGCTTTGATCAGCCAATGAAAAGCTGAAACTTGTACTTGAAGTACTGTTACAAGGTTTGACCTGACCGCAAAATAGTGCATGGATATGCTATAGCTTGACAGTTTGTTCCACACAGTTCTGTCATAAGTCATGTGAAAAGGCCTTCAGATACAGTAATCAGGATCAACAGAAACGTTGTGTTGTGTGTGCTGGAGACCCATCATGTGTACTTTTCATACCCTGCTTTTACACTCTGAGCTGATGTCTTCAACCATCCATTGGCTTCATTAAGAGACAAAGAAAGGAAGGGGAAAAAAAGATGAGAAAAGATCCAAAATATGAATTTCACACAGAGAACTAATAAAGATACTATATAGCTCATTCTCAGATGTTGCCTTGAAATGATGAAAAACTTATGAGAAGTTGCTCTCGGCAATGGCAAAAGAAAAAGACGAGGGGGCTTAGAGGGAAGACAAGCTTTCTTCTTTTTATGCATTGAGAATTTCGCAGGGCCTTTAGTGATCGCTTCCTTCCACCGTGGGCGAGTGTTCACTTACGAGCAGGCCTCTATTTAAAACCTTGCTCGGTGTCTGTGATGAGATTTGATCCAAATGGGAGCTGAAGCCCCAGTGCAGCAATAAGGAAGAGAGAGAGAAACGACATAACACATGACCCAAAAACATATCAACCTTTACACTCGGTTACATCAGTAAAATAAAGACAGACAAGGTTAGCAGATGTTCAAACAAAACAAAAAAATAAATAAAAGAACATGCAAGAGATTTAGATTATGTTTGGAATAGAATACTAGTGAAGTTTCTACACTATGTATGTACTGTGCAGTATGTAGAATGTTTAATGAACAGAAGTAATACCAGATACAGGTTTATTTATGAGATGATAACTAAACATCAATCAAGCTCGAGTAAGATTGTGTCACAGTGTGCGGCACAGGACTGGTGGAAAAAGACAACTGTAATGTATATGCTATCCTTGTAAGAATAAGGTTTTGACAAAAAACAAACATTTTCATAAAATGATAAGCTTCACATTTCAGTCAACTATTTTATATAGTTATAGAAATAAAAATAAATATATTTTTGAATTAGAAGAGTTTGCAGGTGTGGTTAACAATGTTTTTTTTTCTAAAAACTGTTTCTTCGCAAAAATTTTTGTTTAAATTAATACACAGCATTTGTTGTATACTGTCAGTATGTATCACAGTATAAAGTACACTAGGTGTTTCCATTCCAAACATAGCCTTTATTGTCTGCTAAAGAAGTATTCTTTCAATAATATAATAATAATAATAATATTTTTTCATCTAGTTTACAGAGAAACATACTGTATAAATCATTTTGATATCTGTCACAGAAGTATTTCACATATATTCTGTAGTATAACTGGCTGGTTATGATCTAGCAGTCATCTATAAAATGAGTAAAAGCAAATGCATTCTATTCCATACATACCATTGTCGTCACATGACTCGGACTGGAAGGAGCTGAGAGAGTGGACCTCAGACATGCTGCCTCTGGTGTTGTAAGGATGACAGGCGCTGTCCTCTACCGGTTTCTTACTTAGACACGGATCCAAGTCCACTACTTTAGCTGTGAGGAGAAGAAAACTGTCACACAAACTTTCCCTCACTTTCGGAGCCCATAAAATAGATTGTCTTACAAGTCAAAAGCATGACATTCGGATTCCGGATGGGTTTCTGTACATACCATCGTAGTCATATTCCCAGCTGGGCTTCTGTATGGAGTCACTGTCAGACACGGAGTTGGAGGGTGGGGGAGGAGGCAGGTTAGGTGCTACACTACAGACAGCCACCGTCTTCCTGTGCCCGTGCGCTGTATCGGGGTTGAATGTGCTGAATTCTGGGTGCTCTGGTATGGCTGAGCCCTCAAACGAGTTGCGGTCCAGATTGTTGCGGGAGTCGCTTGGAATGCTGGGAGTGTAGGAGATGGGCCGTACAGGGACCTGCGGCGGGATGTCGGAGTAAATGTTCTTGTTGAGTCTGGAGTCAAAGTACGGCCGATGGAGGAAGGCATGCGAGGCTCCTGTGCCTACACCAAGCTTGTCGTCATCGTCAGATTTGGACTTTGAGCGCCGGCAAATGCGCTTGCGAACCACGACGAAGAGTATGACGAGAAGGAAGATGCTGGCAACAAAGACGACGATTCCGATTACTTCCTCCAGGCCGATGTTCCAAGAGGTGGAGACAAATTCGTTGCGGATTTCGGAACGGAGTTCACAATGCTGCCCACTGTAGCCCGCAGAGCAGTTACAGTTGAAAGAGCCGTACGTGTTCTGGCAGTGACCACCATTGCCACAAGTGTTCTTCAGACACTCATCTACATCACTGAGGCATCTAAACACACATACAAGCATGTACTGTAAATACACAGCTGCATATTCAGTCTACACTTTCAAAAGTTTGAAGTTTTCTGAAAGATGTCTCTAATGCTTGCCAAGGCTGTGTTTATTTGATCAACAATACAGTAAAAATGGGAATATTATGAAGTATTATAACAATTTTAAATAACTGTTTTCTATTTGAATATATTTTAAAATGTAATTTATACCTGTAATGTCAAAGCTGAATTTTTAGCAGCCATTATCCCATGAAAGTTGAGAAATCACTCTAATATGCTAATTCTAATAAAACATTTTTTGTGGAAACCATGATACTTTTTTTCAGGATTCTTCAATGAATAGTAAATTCAACAGAACAGCATTTACTTAAAATGGAAATCTGTCACTTTTAATCAATTTAATGCATCCTTGCTGAATAGAAAATATAAATATTTTTTTTTCATTTAAAAAGTCTCATCTAGGTATCATCTCAAGAGAAGTAGCATCTCATAAAGAAGCTTTTCATTATGCCCATTTAATATATGTTTGACTTATTCAATCAAGTCTCAGTTTTATTAGATGGGTCAAAGGATGTACCTGTCTCCTTGGAAACCCAGCTCACACTCACACACAGGACCATCCAGGCTATCAATGCACTTGCCGCTGTTCTTACACGGGTTGTCTGTGCAGTATGGACCCAGCTGACACCTGGTAGAAAATTACAAAGAGCCAAAATGTCATTCAGAAGCTTCACACATGCACAACTTTAGATAAACTTTAAATAGGAATAACTGTGTTTGGATAGTTTTTAATTGCAGTAGAAATTTCTCAAAGAGAAAATGGATTCTGTCTTACTGAATTAAATCTGATTATCAATCACATCGCCTTCCAAAGCTTCTGATTAAATTTCCAATTTAATAGGAATTACTGAGAATGCCGCATGGATTTCTGAAGTATTTTTCTTTAGTTTGAGTCACACCATGAATATTAATGAAGTTTAATTTATGAAAATATTGACAGAGCTTACTTTTATTTGCCCTACACATGGAGTATACAAAATGTCATTAAAATGGAAAAAATAACTAATTTAATGAAATATCAAACTTTAAAAATAATTAGACAGAGGAACATGGTGTAATGCTATAAGGTCCATGTAAAATTTCAATTAAAAGTATTGGGAACAAATCAGAGATTTAACATTTAAAATAAAAAAAATAATGAAAATTAGACATTCATAACAGTGTCATATAATGGAGATGATTGTATATTTCTGTATTCAGACAGTGTACATTTATCCCAAAAATACCTGGGCACTTAATCCACTCTTAAAAGTGTATGATTGTCATTGCACAAACTATCAAAATTGTTTTTATTCGAACAAAGATAGCACATGGTCAGAATGATCAAAGTTATCAAAAAAGATGAAATATTAATGTTCAAAAATAATACAAAATGTACCTGAACACCTTTTTAAAATAAGAAAAGTTTTCTGGTCAAATTTGAAGCATGTCTGTTCTGTAGATAATGCAATGAATTTGCACCTACATATACTAAAAATGACAGAGACTTCACATCATTTGATTGCAGGTACAATGAAAGTATTGCTCAGTGTCAGAATAACGTCTGTGGTTACAAGTGCATGTGTTCTCACCGTTGGCCAGAGTATTGTCCTCTGCACTGACAGTAGAAGTCTCCTCCTCGTGGGATACATGTGCCTCCATAGAGGCAGGGATTAGAGGCACAGGGGCTGATAGTGACTTCACAGTGAGTGCCCATGAATGCAGCGGTGCACTTACAGAAATACCCTACAACACACAATAGAGCAAAGCATATTATTCAGTCCTATATCTGACTGAACTGCAATGACTACAATCAAAAACAAACCAAAAATGGCCAAACATACCTCCGTTAGGCAGTGATGAACATGTGCCTCCATTGGTACAGGGGTTACTGGAGCAGCCCTGGAGTGGAGGAGCCAAGCTGCAACCGGCAGCCGCCTCGACCAGCTCCTCCAGGACTGAGCGAACTCCTCGAACCTGAGATAGCGGCAGCTCCCTCCCATTAAACACGATCCCCTCGAGACAACCCCGCAGCCCATTTACCACAAGTCTTCCTGAGCCGGATGTTGGCCGTGCATGACCCCCGAAGTACATGCTGGTGTCCAGGTTGAGGGTGCGGAGAGTTCCCGGAGCTTTGCCAGACGCAGCGTGGACCTGATCTAGGACCAGTCTAGCATAGTTACCATCTACCTCAAGAGAGACAGTGTGCCACTGTCCGTCACTGACCTGGGTACTGTGCACAGACACCACACCAGGACCACTGCCGCAGTCAAATGTGTACTGCAGGCGGCCGTTCACAATCTGAAACACACACAGATAGTTTTGTATTTCATGCTGCCTCAATATAAGAATGGCAAACATGTGGAGTCAATTCAAATATTTAGTATCTCAAATCCACATTTAGCCAATTGACATTATATATTTATATTTCTAAAATAAAATAATATAAAATATCAAAACAAAAAAATATATAAGCTCACGCAAACCATTAAGTTGTATGTTGTATGCATAAATATATAAAGGAGGCTCTCTCCAAACCTATTAAGTCACCTAAACAGATAACCAAGGTCAATTTAAAGCACATGCATTGTTTTGGGCATGCTATTTTTTGCACATTTTGGGCATCACAGGCATATTCTGTGTAAGCCCCATTTTTGGACAGAAAACAAACTTATGACGGCCAAAAATGTGTGCCTATAAAAATTTATGTCTGAGTAGGCAGTTTATCAGTTATTTTTAAACAGCCAAAAAGATGACTCAGTGAAGTACTTCAGGTGTGATATTAAAGTATTCTGGCATCAGCCGATTGATTAAACAAATGAAATGAGGAATGATGCTTCAGGGATAAGCAGAAACAGATTATTATAATGTAAGAGCAGGGAGATGACACTGCTTGCATTTGAGTCCCAGACTCCTTTGCTCTTTCTGTCAGCTGTGCGGTTTTCCCTCACCAAAGTGGAATGCGTGAGAAAGAGCTCCCCTCTCTTCTCCCAGCTCCAGAATATCTCTCATTCTGTTTTCTCTTCTTTTTTTGGAAGGATAGAGGGGGTTAAAAATACACACTCACCTCCAGTATGCTGTAGTCTGTGCCTTTGGCATACATGACAGTAGCGTGGCTGGAAAATGTTCTCAGTCTGAGGGACAGCTTCATTTCTTCCTTATTCTCGTTCTCCATCAGCCTGTACCGTGCATATCCATTTCCGCTGAATGTCAATGACTGACGCTCTAAAACACACAGCAAACCAAAACAAATTAGTGATGTTATCATAATGTCCACACCCAACACTACATTTCTAATGCAGCAAAACTAAACGTCCATTTCATGAACAAAACATTAGTGCTTGTAATGCTGTATAAAACACAAACAAATCAGAATTCATTATGCAATGACATTATCAGTTCAATTTTAAACAGCAAACATGCAAATAATAAAATCTAATTCAAAATATTAAACACTTTAACAGTATATAAATGATACCAAAATAACACTGATCTCCATGCATGGCGGGGTCCCTTCATTTAATATACATCTATTGTTGTGTACTATAAATACAGCAGGACAAGTTTAACTCAAGTAATATGGATACTTTGAGCAAGTAGCACTAATAAAAGAATGGGACTTCAATACTGTGCTTTAATAGAGAGTGTGAGTTGCACTAATATGTGTGTTCATACCTGAGCACTCTTCCTGTTTTCCCTCAGGACAGATGCATTTGAATTTGCTCTGTGTGGGATCTTCTACACACTCCAGGCCATCAGGACAGGGGCTTCCCTCACAGAGTTTACTCAGGACAGGACACTCAGCTCCTATAATCACACATAAAAGGGTTATCATCACTCTAGAATGGAAGTGAAATACATCTTTGAAATATTTGGTGTCTGTATATCCGTGTTACCTTCACAGAGACATTTGGAAGTGCGCATGTGACGTGGCGTAACAAAACTAATCCTAGCCGTGCTGTAGGCCGACACTGCTCCCGTCTCCAAGGAAACGGTTTCTTGGCAGTAACTAAGAGGACAGTCCAAACCAGCACAGAGTTTCTTCACAACTCGTACAATACGGACTCCAGTCATCTCTTCGATTACCCCAACTGAGGCGTTCAGCTTCCTGTACACCACCTCCTGGGGCTGGAATGGACTTCCTGACCTTTCTAGAGCTAGAAGTACTTCTAGGTCACCGGAGGCATCGGCAGCAGGTTGCAAGCTGACTAACTGCACATCTCCGCGTCTGACACCGGCGATGTTCCGTAAAGCCCGCAAAAAGTTCCGCCAATAATCTCCGATAAACTCCTCCGGTGCTATTGCAGAGAATCGCACGGCGATGGAGTTATCGAGCGCTTGTGCTGTTGCCTGCCGAACGTGAATATTGACTCGGGCTGCTACAGTAAAACGGCCATCTGTCACTGTAATGTTAAGGACGTATTGACCAGCATCCAGATTCCCACGGGCTACAAGTTTCCCATCAGCAGGAGAGACAGAGAAGAGGCCAGAGTTTTCGGAGGCGGAGGAACTATCGGGTGTGAGGCTGTAGGTTAGAGTGTCGTAAACATCCTGATCAGTGGCGTGGATTTTACCCAAGACCCCGCCTGAATATTCGTCTGTTGCGGTGGTGATAAAGATGTCCAGGGGAAGAATGACAGGAGGGTAGATGCTCTCCTCGATCAAATGTACACTCACAAATGCTGTGGAGACCAATGGTGGCCGACCGCTGTCTGTTACCTAGAGTAAAAGAGCCAAGAGATTTAGGATACAGAATTGCAGCAATTAGAAAGATTTAAAGGAGACTTTTTATGTCCCTTTTTACAAATAAGTCTCATGTGTCCCCAGAATGTGTCTGTGAAGTTTCAAAATACCCCACAGATCATTTATTATAAAATTTTGAAAATGTCTATTTTGAGTGGAAGCAAAAACACCCTGCCTTTGTGCATGTCTCTTTAAATGCAAATGAGCTGCTGCTCCCCGCCCCCTTTTCCAGAATAGGGCTGTGCTTTTACAGCTAGTACCTCAGATACTCTGCTAAAAAAACGTGTTTGATTTTGATTATCATGTCTATCACGTTGAAATCATGCGTTAAACCATATTAGTTTAAACTTCTGATATATGGTTTTCTGAGCGCACACATCCAAAGCACACGCACAAAAAGCGGCTGTCACACGACATGTGCATACTAAACTAAGTTCTCTTTCATGTCTTATTGCACATAAAGGGATAGTTCACCCAAAAATGAATATTCTGTCATTAATTACCCTCATGTCGTTTCAAATTAAGATATTTTTTATGGAATCTGAGAGCTGTCTGACCCTCCATAGACAGCAATACAACTGAAATGTTCCCAAGTCCAGAGACATAGCAAGGAGATCGGTAAAATAATTCATGTGACATCCGGGGTTCAACCGTAATTTTACGAAACTACGAGAATACTTTTTGTGCGCAAAAAAAAAAAAAAAAACGACTTTATTCAACAATTCGTCTCCTCCGCGTCACCCTGTAGCGCCATTTTGGAGAGTATCAGCTGCGTCAGCTGTTAAATAAATAAACAAATCCACTGCTCTCTTGACTCTTTTGAGGCTGGGATTTTAAATAATGTTCTGTGCTCGCCTGTGCAGCCAAAGACAGAACAGTTAGCATGATTTGCTTGAACTTTCGCCATGGCATTAGAACTGCTACACCACTGGTAGAAACGTGGATGGAAACGTGAAGATTAAGGGGCAGTAATATTATAATAAGATCCCCTTTCTATGTCACGGGGGGAGCGAAATCTGACAAACTTTTTTTTACATGCTTGCAGAGAAAGGCTTACCAAAAAAAAATACTGTGTTAATCTTTGTCATGTTTCCTGGGTTAGTAGATGCACTGGGGACCTGATTATAGCACTTAAACACAGAAAAAGTCAGATTTTCTTGATATGTTCGGTTGGGTTGGGTATCAGATCACTAACACTAATTTGTGGTAATGATGATGTTTGCTTTAGCAAGCACTGGCGAGTATTTACAGAAGAACTCATAAAGGAGTCCGTTTCAAAACAGTTTTGATTTCATACCTCCTATGATACAGTGGGGCAAAAAAGTATTTAGTCAGCCACCAATTGTGCAAGTTCTCCCACTTAAAAAGCTTTACAGCACAGAACATCAAGCACCATATATGTTGTTAACTAAAACAATAGATTATTAGTCTTCTAACATATGGTGCCAAATTATCAAATCAGCTGTTTGAAGTATAATTGAGTATTAAGGGCAGAACGACTTTGACACTTATTTTCAGCCACTCCATGCAAAATGTGCAGTCACAGTCAGTAGAGGGAGCACTCGAGCCTGGATTTACTCTTGAAACAATGGACAGCTGCACAAGTTTGAGCCTGGCTCACGTTATTTACTTCTGTTCCATCCTCTTGTACCTATCACTTTGCCTCCCATTTCACAGTCCCTATTAATTTCACAATTTTACAAAACGGGTACAATTTGTAGCCCTAATAAAACATTAATGAAAAAGTAAAAAAAATTGATGATATATACAAATAAATTTGTTGACATTGTATTAATTCAAATACTAGAGGTTGTGGTCTTATGTAGTACATCAACCCTGTTACCATAATAAAATGTTACATAAATCAAAGATATACATAACAGCATCTGTCCTTTGAAAAAGTCAAATGCAATTTATTAAGACTTAAAGACATCTTTTGTTTAAAATCTTACAAAAACTACTTAAAATTTACTATCAAAATTGAAAAGTGGCCCATTGCATAGAATGACCTCCTACTGAACAAAGGAAACAGAACACCTAAAAGAAGAGGAGACTGGGAATAAGACAGCTGTAATGATTTTCTTACAGGTCCTCTCCTCTGCTCAAGTTTTCATGGCTGCTCCTTCATCATACTCTATTGACCATGCCTGGCCTGTGTGGGGAGTACTGAACAAGCACTGCTTCACCTCAGCTCTACTATTCATCTATCTCAGACCTCCAGTGATAACTGAAAAAGACCCCTACAGCTTTAGTGAGAGTTGGAGAGTCAGAGGGAGACTGAGGTCTCACCTGGGCCTGCAGGAGGTAGAACTCTTGGGTCTGGCGGCTCAGAGTTGCCGCAGAGACCAGCACGCCCTGAGAAGTGATTTGGAAGGCATCGCCCTCGTTCCCACTGATGATAGAAAACGTGAAAGGAGGTCCATTGTGGGAGGCATCACGGTCAGACACGGTCATCTGGAGAACACTGGTACCGACTGGCTGGTTCTCCTATACAACATATGCAGAACATGTTAAAGGTTTTATAATTTAGACCTACAACATTCACACTTTTTTTAACATCTTAAGGCGAATTTGGCATGTAACAATTTTTACAGCTCACATTGAGAAGCTATGATTATATTTAATATGAGCCAGCAAGCACAGACATATCTGGTGACTAATAATGATTTTTCCAATGTTCCAAAAGGCAAATGGGAACATTATTCGAAATGCATTTAATTTCCATAATGATGAATTTCAGCGTGAAACACAATAATCTGTGGGAAATAATGTAGGGAGTCATTATTTCCTATTTTATAGGACATATATTATCATCTACTATCTACTGATATTTGTTTGCATCATAAAAAGTAAACTAAAAAGCTAAAGATTTGAAAGCTTAGGTGTTTCATTTCATTTCTTTTTTGAATGAAAAACATTAGTGTATTTTAACTAACAATAACAAGACTGCACTGTTTTTTTCATTGTCTAATGTTAGGACACATGTCAATATTAAGAATTGTTACTTTTTGCAGCTGTTTTTGAATACAAAAGCATATTTTATGTGAACACCCCAATGCATCTGTGTCTAGTGACCCCAAACCAGAATAACAGTGAATTCCTTAGAACAAGCAGGCATTGGAGAGCGATTGTTGACAGTGAAATCACTGTATCGTCTCCTCTGAGAAATCAGACCTGTATAATGATGCTGTAGTTTGCCTGAGAGAAGAGAGGTGGGTTATCGTTTATGTCCGAGACATCTATGTTGACTGTAGCGCTGCCGGAACGAGCCGGGCTTCCGTTGTCAGAGGCCAACACAGTCAGAGTGTAACCTGAAGTCTAAAAAACAAACAAAACAAAATGTCATCATTAGGTTTCAGGAACAGACTGCCAATGTACCTGCTACCGAGTGTTCTGTACCTTCTCTCTGTCGAGCTGGCGGGCCACCTTGACCTCTCCTCTGATGGGGTCGATGGTGAAAGGACTGCCTTGATTGCCATCAATGATGGAGAAGCGCACCTGATTACTGGATGGACCATCTGCATCATCAGCCATGACCTTCACACACAGAGAAACACACACCTGGCTAAGATAAAGACTACCACAGACTCAGGTAAGCAACACCCCAGCCTTTCGTCCTTTTTGCCTCGCGAGTCAGTAACTATTGGCTGAGACTCTCGAGGGAAATCAGAAAGCATGCAAGTGAAAAAGAGCTGGGTATCAAAGCCTCAATTTCACACTGACAATTTATATTCAGCATGATAAGGCATGAACATCTCTAATAAATGACCAGAGTGAGAGCGAGATTAAAGATTGGTGTGGGTCGCCGAGCTTTAGTTTGACATTGGGCTGTGTTTGTTTAGTGTGCGTGTTCTTTGCTCTGTGTTGATTTTAGGAGATGATGTAACAGAGACCTGAGTAGGGCACAATAAAATCAGAAGTGCTTCAGAAAGAGAAGCCGATGACTCACAGTGAGCACTGTCTTTCCCAGTTCTGCATCTTCGCTGATCACAGCAGAGTAAATATCTTGGTTGAAGATGGGGCTGTTGTCATTTACATCAGTCAGGTTAATGTTCACTGTGGCCATGTCGCTGAGCGGTGGCGTTCCTCCATCTGTAGCCTCCACTGTTAGATAAAACTCATGTGCCGTTTCATAGTCCAAAGGCTCGATCACGAAGACACCGCCTGGGAAGAAAAGGACAATGAGATGTCAAGGTACATGAAAATATCGAAATAATAAAGTATTTATTTTCCATATAATTAAATAAATTAATAAAGTAAATAAATTAATAAATAACTAAATGAATGAAAAAAACAAACAAACAAAAACTGTTTCTAATATGCAATAGAAAACAACTGGAATAAGGAAGATAAGGAAAGTGGCAGAAGAAGAAACTTTGTGCATCCTTTATATTTGAGTGAAGTGCTCCACGTTCTTTCGGTTGTATGAGTATTTGGGAGCCTCATAGATGCTACATAGTCTACAATTATAGGTTCCCTATTTTCTCTATTTGAATGCTTGATAATAATAATAATTTATTTTGTATAGTGCCTTTAAAGAAGTTTATTAAAGTGTTTTACATAAAAAATACAAAAAATAAAAAATAAACAATACATATGACAATCTAATAAGCAGACTTAAAATATTTAACTTTTTTTTTTAAGATTTATATTTGGCTTTTCTGCCTTTGTTATGATAGGACAGATCAGAGCTGACAGGAAGTTGGGAGAGAGAGGGAGGGGATCAGGAAAGGTCCTCAAGTTCGGATTCAAACTCGGGACGCCCATAGCGCGCTGCCCACAAGGCTATTGGCACTGGCAAATATTCAATATTTTTGGAAAAATATTCAAATATGATTTAAAAATTCCATGTGAACATACTTCACAATTTCATCTGAAAGTAGGTTCCACATCTTAGGTGCATATGTAGAAAAAGCCCTATCACCTATGGAAGGTGGAAACGTGTTTGATGGACAACCAAAAGAACACGCTGAGAAGAGTGAAGATTACTGTTTGGGGTATACATCGATATAAGATGAGACAAAAATTCTGGAGCCAGGCCATAAAGTGCCTTATATGTAAGCATAAGAACTTTAAAGTCGACACGAAATTTAACTGAGAGCCAGTGCTGCAGAGATCTCAACAGGTTCATCAAAGCTGTTGTGTTTACCTGTATGGGGGTCAATGCGGAACGCTCCTCTCTCGTTTCCGTTGATTATGGAGTATGTAATCTCAGCGCCTGCTTCTGTGTCTCGGCTGGCTGCGTGTACCCGCAACACCTGGGTGCCCACCAGAATGTCTTCTGCGATGGTGGCAGTGTACTCGCGCCGCTCAAACACTGGAGGGTTGTCGTTGATGTCCAAGATGGAAACACTGACAGTGGTGAGGGAGGAGAGACGGCGCGGGCTCCCACGGTCGGTGACGCGAGCACGGAGGGTGTAGAGTGACTGAAGCTCACGGTCCAGAGGACGATCCAGATGCACGACGCCTGTCTCCTCATCGATGGAGAACACACCACCAGCAGAGTCCAGCAGTGAATAGAGGACCTCTGCGTTAGAACCTAAACACACACACAAAGCACAATGAGATTAATATAGACATTTAACCCCAAACTTCTGAACAATTACACAGTAACACTTGCTCTATCAGTAATATTTGTCAATTATTCCTTCATTTAATGCACAAATGAAACTCGCAATTTTGACCCTCTATTGCTGTTGTCGTATTTGTTACTAAGAAAGGACAAACAATTCATAAAGATTGCCAACAAATCAATACATTTTGAAGATTAAGAAGCTCTCAAATCAATGGCAAAGCCTCAAGCAGTTATAATCATTTGCAAGAACCTATAGTGTGTCTGTGTCTTTGTCTCATTTGCTTAACTATAATGACTTATAAATTCATCCTACAAAAGATTCAGTTGTAAAACCTCTGGTCCTGAGCTGCATATTAAGAAGTGAATGAGTGCCACTTATTATATTGGGGAAAGCACACACACAAACAAACAAGACGAAGATAGAGTACACTAATCCCTCTAATGCATTTTTGAGTAAGCCTCATTTGTGGCTTGCTAGTACAATCCTATCTATCAAGACACACTCTCTCATTATAGCCAGTTAACACAATCTCTTGTGTTCTACAAAGTTTCAGTCAGACCAAATTACTGCAATGCAGCTGCTTTATGACAGTTCAGTATGCATGTAAGTCTATTGATCACTTGACAAACACCTTCTTATGATAATTTCAAGTCAATGATGCAGCTACCTAGTTGCAGGCTAGTCTCATAGGCCTCCACTATAAGTGCAGGTAAAAGCATGTCATAGGAGCGGTCAATAGTTTAATTAGTATTTTACTACTTTACGGGCTTTCAAAAAGTAACCGGTGATCTGAAGGTTGTGTGAGGTAAGAATAAGAGATTGGTTGTGTTTAGGCTAGACTTAAAGTAAGTGAAATAGGAATGTACACAGAGCACAAAATGTGTCTGTTTGAGGATATGGAGTGCAGAACAAAGGATGATAAGAGAGGAATCCATGCAAATGAAAATCAGAGAAAATCAGAGTGGAAAGTACTAACACAGCAGATGAACACTGACAGGCCACACTGTTGCAAAATTGGAGAATATTTAGGGAAACACACTTATATACAAACACAATTTCTATTTTGATATATTTTTAAATAAATATATCATTGATCTGGATATTGAAGATCTCACCTGTGTCCAGGTCTGAGGCATACAGTCGAGCCACAGGTGTGTTTATCTCTGTGTTTTCGAACACAGTGAATGTGTAGGGGTCAGAGGTGAACTGTGGAGCGTTGTCATTGACATCTTCGACTGTGATTTCAACTTCTGCTTCACAAAAGCGTCCACCTCCATCCAGAGCACGCACCTTCATCTTGTGCGCCTCCTCTTCTTCACGGTCCAGAGGGAGCAGTGTTTTTAATTCACCTGATAAAACAAAAACACACTTTACACTGTGTCCTAACAAGAATGTCACAAGAGATAACAGCTATTCCATGTAAATAATGAGTTTTTGTTCTAACCAGCTGTGACCACGGTGTCATGCTGAGTTGCCCTGCCCATTGTGAAATGTCACTGGTATAAAATTGGTCATAACTATGTCAGACTGTTTTGCATTTAAAGGTAAAATCTTTTAAACTTTTGGTCACACAACACAATGTCGCCTACACAAAACTTTGTTTTTTTGTGTCTTTGCAACAATTTTCATCAAACAATGTTGTTCAAAACCCATAAGACTTTCGTTCATCTCTGAAATGCAAATTAAGATATTTTTAATGAAACCCAAGAGATTTCTGATTTTATTTAGGATTTACCATAATTAATGTGAACTATGTATGTGCATTGATCGATGTTTTTATTTAAATAAAATCCTTAATTAAATCGTTCATCACAATGTTTACAATGACTTTAATGGACTTTTTGAAGCATCACAGTTTTGGTTGCATGGACTTTAAATAGAGAGACAGAAATCTCTCACATTCTATTTTTGGATGAACTAACCCATTAATTAATTTGCAATTTCTGTAAACTCTAGTTCGAAGGATCCCTGATGCTTCTTCTGCACACACAAACAGTTTATTGCTCTCTCATTCTTTATGTCTGCAAAGCTTCTTTATGTATATTTTTTATAGTTGTCGCTTTCTAAAAACCCCAAAATTCACCCCCCATCAATCACTTTGAACATCAGCTGGCACTGCACTAATGAACAAGACCCAATCCAATTCCACTTTAAACTATCTCATCTGTCAAATCAAGTTAAGAGGACACTCTAAAAACGCCCTCAAAAGAAAAGCAGTGAGAGAAGGAGAAAGTCATCTCTTTTATGAGTAAATGATCTGACCTAATTTCAGCAAGCATAAGCTACGTTCCATTGGAGCGGTCACTGATTCAAAACTGCCCTTTTGTGTGCCAGCTGTTTGGTGTTGACCTTTCAGCTGGAGTGCATCTCAACGAGGAATGAATTCAGGGTGTCCAAAAGTTCCCCCTCGAGGGAAGCTAAAACCATCCTTGCGCTGAGCGACTTTAAGAAATAGAAAAGATTAAAGAGGAGAGGGATGGTGAGAAATTAGAGAAATAGTAAGGGAGAATAAAGTGCAGTCGGCATGTGGGCTGCTTGGAGAGTGAGCTGAGAAACGAAGCAAAGGGAAAGTCACCCTCGGAAAAGCAGTCGCCAGCTTTCAGGGGTCTGGTTGGCTCGCTCGAGAGCACACTTGGCATTGCTAACTTGCAATAATGCAACTCTTCTTTTCCATGACGGAATGAATGGGAAAAAAAGCAAAGCGAAGAAATTCTCTGTGCACACTAAACCCACACAGAAGAACAGTAGCGCTCCTTCAGTTTGCGAGCCAGCATTCCCTGCCTTCACACTTGGTGTTATCAAAGAGCCAGTGAGTAGCGCCTTTACAATAGCTTTTGTGTTGTAGTAGTGTGACGCTATCATAAACCCACTGTTGATTTCTGCTCTCTTTCCGGCTGGAACTGATGTTTAATTCACACAGTTGAGAGACAGCTGATCTGAGTTAATAGCTTAAGTGAGGCAACACTTGAAATGCTTTATTCAAATATTTTGTGTGAATAAAACAGGCAAGTAAAAAAATGAGAAGAACAATACTGGCAACAGAATTCCACGGTATTCACTGTAAAACAGTAATAAAAGCCCAAGGGTGTACACCTTTCCCTGGGATTATACAAGTAATTAAATTAGAAATCATTATGGTTTTAAATGGGATGTGTGTTTGACTGCAGGCAAAAGTAAATGATGTTGAAAATGTTTTGTGTGTATGAAGTAGGGCCGTGCGATTAATCGAAACCGTCCTAAAATCGCGATTTGAGCATGCGCGATTTCTAAATCGCTTTACAGAACAATTTTCCGAGCCCCCGACCTCCCGCAGTATGCTATTTGAACCAATCAGAATGCAGCACGCCTAAATGGAGCACGAGAACAGAACAGCCCGGGCGGGCATACAAACGTAACGCCAGGTTCACACACTCCATCTGTGGTGCGTATTTTGTCCGTGCCCATGTTAACGGATCAGAGCGTTCACACTGCATGCGATTGCGGTCCGGCAGTGCGCTCCAGGAGCGGTGCGTCTGCAGCAGTCATGAGTCTATTTCTGCTGTGCTGCATGCACAGCGCATTATTCACAGTAAAAATTTACATAGATTGACACGGAAATTTAGTAATTACACCATAAATGCATATAATTAAAGTCTACTATTTCACAGTCAACACATGGCTTTTTTGCTAGATTTAAAACAAGGAAAAGTGCACTTTTAGATAAACAATGCAATAATAGATGGCACTCGTGGTGGTAGTTAAACAACGTTATATTTATTGAGTTTAAACGTGAATATGTCTATGAAAGATTGTATTACTGTACTGTGATAAAAGAGAATCACAATGCTGAAAAAGCATTTTCAGAAACAACGTTTGGATTTGAAATAAAAATAATGGATAAATGTTGTGTTTGTGGTAAACAGCCGCGGATCAGGAGCGGACTGCAAACGCGTCCTGTGCGAAAGCAAAATGAGTCCGTGCTGCTTCTGCACCGCATACACATAGGCTGTATACGCACTGCAGACGGAGTACGTGTGAACTTGACGCAACAAATCTAGTTCAACATCTGAGGCAACGCCACAAAGAGCTCTATGACCAATGCATGGCAAAACAAAATCCCTGGACACTGGATTTTTTTTTCCTGCCATATGTCTATTCTAGAGACATTTTGTTACACATTTACTTAGTGATTATTTTGTCTTACGTCTGTTCTAGAGACATGTTACAGCTTCTTGATAAAGCTCTAATTGGTTTTCTTTTGGAAATATGTTTCAAATTCACACTGAATGCATTTATGACTGTAAAGCATGTCTGTGTGTGTCAAAATCGTGATTAAAATCGAAATCGCAAAATTGATCAAAGAAATCGCGATAGCTTTTTTTTTGTCCATATCGCACAGCCCTAGTATGAAGCATATATTTGTCTGGCTATTGAGACTGGTCTTAGCCTGTTCAGATTTTTGGGGTCTGTAAAAATTTTAATGTTTTAGAAAGAATGCTCATCAAGGTTGCATTTGTTTACTCAAAAATTTAGTAAAAAAACAGCAATATTAATGTGAATAAAGCAAAATATAATTAAAACATTAAAATAATGATTTTCTATTTTAATACATTTTAAAATGTAATGTAATGGTAAAGCCGAATTTTTCAGTAGCCATTACTGAGAAAAATGTCTTATTATCAGTGTAGACACTTTCAATATTTTGTGGAAACAGTGATACATTTTCAGGATTCTTTAATGAATGTAAAATTCAAAAGAAGAGGATTTATTTGAAACAGAAATCAGTTGAAACATTATAAATGTTGTTACTGTCATTTTTCATCAATTTAATGCTTTCATGCTGAACAGCATAAATGAATCTTACTGACTGCAAACAGTTCAAAATTAGTGTGTGTGTGTGTGTATATTAGTGCTGTCAAATGATTAATCGCGATTAATCGCATCCAAAATAAAAGTTTTTGTTTACATAATATATGTGGGGGTACTGTGTATATTTATTATGTATATATAAATGCACACACATGCATGCATATATTTAAGAAAAATAAGTTATGTTTATATTTTAAATATATTTATATATAATATAAATTATATGAATATAAATATATACATGTTAATATTTTCGAAATATATATTGTATGTGTGTGTATTTATATATACATAATAAATGTACCCAGTACACACATATATTATGTAAACAAAATTTGTATTTTGGACATGATTAATCGTTTGACAGTACTAGTGTGTATATATATATATATACTATATACTAATACTAAACATATAGCTATACAAATACTAAATCCTAATGCGTACCTGTCTCAGAGTCGATGCTAAAGTGCTCTGATCCGGCCCCGAGCAGCTCGTAGGAGATCTGTGCATTGGAACGGATGTCAGCATCTGTGGCAGAGACCTGCAGGATAAGCCTACCAGCAGGGGAATCCTCTGGGATGCTTTCCATATAGAATGACTGCAAAGAACAGAAAGGGAGGCAGGTAAAAATCAGAAGTGACTTCACAAATGGGATGACAGGGCCAAAAAGGAGAGCGAAATGAAAGTAAAGAGAAAGGACTTTGGTGGTAATTGTGACCCCAAATTGAAAAAAGTGCTAAAAGATTTTCACCGCAGGAGTTCTATTAAATTAACATTATTCAAAAAGGAACACAATACGTAAAAGAAGCACATTAGCCCTCACAAAACCCTCTCACAGTGCAAAATCACTTAAATGCTGCATTTCACATAAGGACCTTTTCAAATCCCTCCTGACATTCTGTCTTTCTCTCCAAGTCTCGTTCCATTTAGCATGCACAGCGGGTAGGCTGTGCCCTCCCCTTAACTGACAGAATCAGACTACATGACATTTTGCTGCAATGCACTTCCCACACACACATACACACAAAACTAACATTCATACCTTCTCACAAATTGGGCTGTTGTCATTGGCATCCAAGACCTTGACTTCAACCACAGCCTTGGCTGTGAAGGTCCCGTCAGTTGCCGTAATGTTCAGCAAGTAATTGTCCTTCTCCTCCCTGTCGAGATGCTTCCGCACCGAGACCTTCCACTCGCCTTGAGTATGCTCAATGCCAAACTGCCCCAAGGGGTCTCCACCTTTAGAGAGCACACATGAGAAATGTCAGTCAAACTAATGAATGGCAGATAAAATTACTATTTATTTGTGTGGTTTCCTGTTATAAGTGCAGTAGCTACAGTAATGGCTCAATTTATAACTGCTTATATTTCACAAGTTATTGTGAGCTTTCTGTGCCATGTGTACTCCACGGTATTCATGAAGCTTTACTTCTTGTTTGCTTGGACTTCACAATATTAACACAAAGCGTCTATGTAAATAAGTGGCTGTGTGAGTGTTATGCCAATTTCTGTCATCACTCTACGATCAGGCGAAGACGAGTGGATGTAATGAGACAGTTCTCTGCCAGAAAGTGCTCATCCCATCTCACGCTTGGCATCGATGTTCGCGTTAATTAATTATCACTAGAGCTGAAACATTCTTGCTTTGTTTCAAAAGTGTCATTGGGAAAATTATCCTGTTTTCTTTTTATAATCTCTTGACAATTTTGTAGCACATCATAGGATATTTTGCTTTAGCTGTAAGTGGTTTCCCCAAATATTATTCATTGTTGGTACTATAAATTATTCCATCATAAATTAGTTAAGTTAAACTATTCCATCAAATACAACTGAAATGACAATGGTGGCATGTAACAGCGAAAATTAATCTAGAGGTACAAAATCAACATAAGACTTACCTGTGATAAAGTAGTTGATTTGCTTGTTACTTTCCTCTGTGTCCAGGTCTGTAGTGCTAAGAATGGCAATGACTCCACCAGGTGGGTCATCTTCGCTTACTGTGCCCTTATAGATCTCTGCTGTGAACCTTGGTGGGTTGTCATTCACATCTACCACTGTGACATCCACCTTGGTACTGGCCATCAGCTGGACTTTGTCTCCACGGTCAGTGGCTAAGATTGAAACAGTGTACTTGTTTTTCTTCTCACGGTCAAGTTCCTTTAATGTGGTAATCCATCCAGTTTCACTGTTAATGGCAAACAGTTCTGCAATGTCCCTTGTCTCTTGGTTGGAATCGAGATTGTAAACCACATGGCCATTAGTGCCCGAGTCCAAGTCTGTGGCCTTTACCTGTATAACAGAGGTGGCACCTGGGAGATTCTCCACAACGAAGGCTTCATAAGGGTTTGACTCAAAGAGCGGTCGATTATCATTGACATCCTTGACCTGGATACTGATGTCCACAGCAGAGACAACTTTGTTACCATCATATTCGTTTTGTGATTGTAGGGTTAGCTGATACCATTTGGTGCTCTCGTGGTCAAGCTTCTTCTCCAGCTTCAAAGATCCTGAGCTGGGATCAACCATAAATACCTCATCTTGGTTGCTCTCAGGAGTATTCCCTTTCACCAGGCTGTAAAAGACTGGCTGATCACTTTCGACCTGAATGACATCTATTTCTGAACCAAGAGGAAGATCTTCATCTATGGCAAACCTGTAGTGGGACTCTATGAACTTTGGCACCGGAACCTCGGGAACAAGAATCCTGACATAAACGGGAACAACAGAGGACTTGGCAGGATTTCCGCCATCTTTTGCTCGTACAAGAAATGTGTAGAGCTGGTTTTCCAATCCAATGAGGCTTTCCTTTGTTATAATGATACCACTAAACTGGTGGATTTCGAAATTCTCCTCAACATTGTCTGCGTCTCCTTCAATAGAATAGGTGATGTCTGCATTACTACCTTCATCCATGTCGGACGCTGCAATCTTAAGTATGGTTGTTCCTCTTGGCATGTCGGAAGCAACATTGACTCTGTAATCAGCAGCTCTGAACTGCGGGGCATTATCATTGATATCGGTTAAGATCACATTTACAGTGCAGAAGCCAACTTTGCCACCACCATCTTTAGCAATCAAAGAGATCGGAATTACTTTTTCCAGTGCATTCTCTCGGTCAAGACTCTCCAAAGTGAAGATCTCTCCATTTTCAGAGATTGAGAACTTGTCTTTTGCAATGTCATTGACTATATGATAACTGAGTCTTCCATTTGTACCAGAGTCCTCATCTGTTGCTTGAGCCTCAGCTACCAATGTTCCAACTGGTGAGTTCTCAAGCAGCTCAACCACATAATCCACCTGGTTGAATGTAGGATTGTGGAAGTTAGCACTAATAACACTGACCTTGACAATAGCTGAACTTCTGAATACACCATCTGATACAGACACATTGATGTTGTAGAGGGACTCCATATGGGGTTTCCGGTGGTTTGATATGATTATAGCCCCAGTGTTTGGATCTATTGCAAAGTTTTGCCCCTCATTTCCAGATATAATTGAGAATTCAAGTTTACCACTATTTGAGTTGTCAGCATCGGAAGCCTGAACCTGGGTGACAAAGTGGCCACGAGGTGCCAGTTCACTGACCGTAGCTTCATAGACATTCTGTGAGAACACTGGAGTGTTGTCGTTAAGATCTGTTACATCAATTAACACAATGACCTCACTGGAAAGGGCAGGTACTCCACCATCAACTGCTCTAATTATCAGCTTATGTGAGGGTTTTTCTTCATGGTCAAGCATCTGAGTAGTCCAGATTGTGCCCGTGTCACGATCAATGCTAAAGTAATCAGAGCTCTTATCTTTATCTTCAACGATCTGATAAAAGAGCACTTGCTTGTTACCAGTATCAGCATCTGTAGCTGATACTTGTAATACGGATGTGCCGATCACTGATGCTTCCGAAAGGCTTGCATTGTACAGTTTGCAATGGAACACAGGTGGGTTGTCATTAATGTCTTCCAAGATTACGTCAACAAAGACTTCAGCTTTGGCACCGGTTAGCGAGTCGGTGGCCCTTACGCTGAGTTTATAGGCTGGGTGGGTCTCGAAATCCAAAGGCTTTACAACCTGAATAACACCAGTATTGAAGTTGATGGAGAACTGATTGAGAGGGTCCCCTTCTGTGATTGTGTACACTATTCTAGGGCCTTCAGAGTCATTAGCCTGGATGTGTACAACAGGTGTCAGTAACGGTATGTTCTCTGGGATCTCCAGACTGTAGAAGGCTTTCTCAAACACAGGCATTGCTTTGTTTACAACCATTATTGGCACTTCAACAGATGAGGAAAGTGCTGGTTCACCTCCATCTCTGGCTACAATGGTGATTACAAATTCAGTGTTAAGGGAGTCTTTCTCAAGCTTCTTTGTTAGTGAGATTTCACCATCCATGCTGATCTGAACGAACTCATTTAGCTCCTGAAGATGGTAGTTGATCTCAGCATTTCTGTCAACATCTGCATCAACCACAGTCACTTTTGTGATGATGTGACCCACTTCTGTGTCAACCTGCACCAGTGCCTGATAGGGTAAATTGACAAACACCGGTGGGTTGTCATTGACATCTTCGATTACCACAGTTACAAGGACATGGGCTATGTCAGATAACTTGTCTTCTCTGGTCACCTCCACCACAATATCAAATATGCCTTGCTCTTCTCGATCAAAGGGTATGCCTGTAGAGGAGAGTACTCCCGAAGTATGGCTTATTGTGAATCTCTTATCAGGGTTCAGAATGGTATAAAACAAAGGTTCATTGACTTGGTTTCCCACTGCAACTATTACAGCTAAAGTCTTCTTCTCTAAGGAATTTTCTGGTACAGAGGCCTTGTATGATTCTTGGGTGAACCTCAGAGTACTCTCCTTATTCTCTCTGACATTTATTTTTACCAAAGCTGTTTTAGAAAACCTGCCATCAGACACCCTTACTTTGAGCTCATACCTGCTTCTAAGCTGAGTGACATTTTGAATAGTGACAACCCCTGTGGCCGGGTCCATTTTAAACTTCTCTCCAATATTGCCTTCGACAATAGAGTAAAAGAGCCTTGAATTTGGACCTGAGTCTGCATCTGTGGCATTGACTGTGATCACTTCCACTCCTTTGTAAGTTGGCACTAAGACTGTGGTTTCATATAGATCTTGGATGAACTGAGGCGGGCAGTCATTGACGTCCAGGATCTCAATAGTCACGTTAGCAGCCTTCTCTGCAAAATGACGGGGGATTCCCATGTCGTGGACTTGTACAGAAAAGCGAAACACAGATCTTTGCTCATAATCCAATTCGCTGACGGTTCGGATTGCACCAGTACTAGAGTCGATGGCAAAGTAATTATGGGCAAATGGCTCAACAATCTGATAGACCAGTCTAGAGTTAGCATCGTGGTCAATGTCTAAAGCACGGATGACAAGTGGTGTGTTGTCTTTGGTGAGGACTACACTGTTCACTGGAGAAGACTCGCTGACCATTCCAGTGAACTCATCTTGAATAAATATAGGTGCATTATCATTCTCATCCTTCAAGTGAATCAGTAGAGTAGTGTTACTAGCCAGACCGGCCATGTTGGTTCCCTGAATGGTTAGTTTGTATGATGGAATAGTCTCGTAATCCAAAACTGAATGAGTCACAACCACTCCAGAGTTGGGGTTAATGTCAAATGCTCCATTCACATTTCCGTCTTTGATCTGATAGAACACTGATGATTTGCTATTGGCGGTAACTAGACACACAAAGGCTCCAGGCAGAGTGTTTTCGCTGACTTCAGCAGAAAACTCCTTCTCTTCAAATTTAGGAATGGCATTGTCAGAAATAGTGACAGTTATGTCCACAGCAGCAGTAGCAATAAGTGGTGGTGTGCCTTTGTCAGAGGCTTTCACAGTAAGCTCAAAACGGTTCTTGTTGCTACGGTCCAGCTCCTTTGCCACAGTGATGGTGCCCAGGATAGGATCAATAGCAAATGAATTGGCCACATTTCCTAGGAAGGAATATGACAAAGATGCATCAAACACTTACTAAAAGGATTAGATTTGACTTTTCAGAACTCTTTAGAACTCGTTAATTTAAACATTTTGTGTCAAACTGCTTTAAAGAATTAATTTAATTTAGGAAAATCATGGATGCATTGATTTAAAGTTAAAAATGATATGCATTTTGTTTGTTTTGCTTTATCTATAATTAATATTTGAGTTTGTCAAAGACAGTAAGCATCTAATCAGCTGCCTGAGCGGGAGTCATTCAGTATGTGACCTGAACAATGTTTGCTGTCTCATACACACACACACAGGTTTGTTTTTATGGTTTATGGGGACTCTCCAAATGGTTTTTATACTGTACAAACCATATTTTCTATTGCCCTACACCAACCCTACCCCTAAACCTACCCCTCACAGGAAACTTTCTGCATTTTTAGATTTTCAATAAAAACTCATTCTGAATTATTTATAAGCCTTTTGAATTACGGGGACACTGAAAATGTCCTCATAAATCTCCTTCTTGTTGTAATACCTATGTCATACCCATGTTATTATACAAATTTGTGTCCTCATAAACCACATAAACATGCACACACACACACACACACACACACACACACACATAAAGTGCAGTACATTTCAATTAGCTTCTGTAATCTCAGACATTTCAAATATGTGCATTCTCAAAAGGCCACTTGGTGTCATATCTGTGCTAGTGTTGTCAAAAGACCCGGTACTTCGGTACCAAGTCGATACTAAAAAAATGAAAACGTTACGGTACCAAGTTTTTTAAAAAGTTTTTTTTAAACCGACCCGGTTCTTGATGTGCTATCTGAAAGTTGCGTATATGCGCTCTCTTCATAAAACCACTGAGACGTGGCAACATCAAAATGATGAAACACATCAAACTAACAAAACACTTTAAAGACAGACACCCAGATCAAATGAAAGAGTTCAAGCAGGTAAGTTTAATTTCATCCTATACAAACGCGGCTAACGCTAATATAATGAGCATTACTATTTAATACTCCTATAACTTTTATTTGGGTAAAAAAAACAGGAGGACATGATGATATTTTTACACACCAGAGGATTTTAAATGAATTGTGAATCTAAAATATGCGTGTTAGAGAATGTACAAATGGTTAACATTGTTTGTGTCATATCA